GATATTTAAATTATAGGCTAACCCTGTCCAGGTCATTAATATGAGTAAATGTAACATTAAACTGAAAATCAAGGTTGAGTAACCTGCATCTAGTAAAAAGGAAACAAAGACTAAAAGAATAAAAAGCAAAAGTGTGTGAAGTAGAATGGGGCAATCAGTGGTTCCATGCGTCTAGAATCATCTGGTTCTGAGTAGAATCTATCTGTTTCAATGTGAATGTCTTCAAGTTGTGGGGATCGTGAGTCTGCAATCAGTTTCTATGGATTGTCCATTTGAAGAGATTCTCTGGAGAATTTCATTTCAAGATTTCTAATAGATGTAAGTTTCCAATTGTCTTCTAATGGGAGTGGATTATGTCATTTTAGTTGAGAAACATGTATCCAAGGATTATTTCCTTGCAGTATAGCAGCTGTACTCGTAGACAAAATTATCTTGATGAGGTCACTCCTGGCAAGGCTCGAGGGCAGGCTTTCTCTGATGTTTTTTCCAGAACATCAAATCATCTGATTTCAGGTAATGTCAGTGCTGATTGACTAGGTGGTTGAGGAGAAAAAGCATCCCATATCTGCTGATCTTAGAACTGAGTATTTTGGGCTAGTGATTGTAGCCAGATCTGCTTATATAGTGGGAGCTAAGCATGGCTGGCGATGTTCCTAATTAAATGGGCTGTTGGTGAGTAGCTAATAAGATGACACTATGTGACTTTCTGAATAAAATAATGAAGAGTCATGAGAGTTAAAAGTAGTATGTTAGGCCAAGTGAGTTCATGAATATCTGATAATTGAGCCAATTCTAGTTCCAAAATTCTAAAATTTTGAATAAAATAGGAATAGATCCCCAGTGATATGTGAGATTACATCAAATTATCTAAAGTATGCATAATTGGAGTTCCAGAAGGAGATGAGAGACAGAGATAGTAACAAAACATTTTTTAATGGCCAAAAAATTGCAAATTTGACTTAAAGTTATCAACCTACAGACCCAAGGATCTCAACAAACGCTGAGGATGATAAACACAAAGTAAAACAAATGTAGGAATATGCTAATTAAATTGACAAAAAGCAAAGATAAAAAGGAAATTTTAAAAGCAGTCAGAGTCAGTAAGAAGGCATAATAGGAAACCCTAGATCTCCAAACCCTTGACACACTGACTCAAAAACAATACACATCTCAATTCACCTTGTGAGAAATCCAGAGACCAGTTGAGAAGCTGCTGGACACCAGCCGGGCATGAGACCTGCTGTATTAAGGCCAGTAGGAAAATATGTGGCACCTTCTTGCCATAAGCCCTCACCCTGGCACAGCACTTCATGATTGGAAGGAAGCCCCCAACTCCTTGCCTGTCCCTGGGGAGAAAGCGAGAGCAGTGGACCATACACCCAATGATCTGACTTTTCAGAAGCAGCTTGAGGGACTTTTTTTTTTTTTGTCTTGCTTGAATCTGAGAGCTGAGAGGAAAGAGTCCCAGAATGGGGACCACCAAGAAGAAAGGTGATGGTTTGGACTAGTGAGCACTTACTGGCAATAGTCCCCCTCCCATTGAATAATGCAGAATGAGGAGGCAAAAATCCCCCAAATTCTAGCTTTTCCCCAAAACAAAAACTAAAATGTGTTGGCAAGGATGCGGAGACATTGTAACCCTTGTGCACTATTGGAAGAAATGTAATATGGTGCAGTCACTATGAAAACCAATATGACAGTTCCTCAAAAAATTAAAAATAGAACTACCATATGATCCATTAATCCCACTTCTGGGTATCTAGCCAAGGGAATTTAAATCAGAATCTTGAATAGCTATCTGCACTCTCACATTCATTGCAACATTATTCACAACAGCCAAGATGAAGAAACAACTTAAATGTCCATCGACAGAGAAACAGATAAATAAAATGTGGTATATCCATACAATGGAATATTATTCAGTGTTAAAAAATAAAATCCTGCAATATGTGACAACATGGATGAAACCTGAGGACTTTATATTAAGTGAAATAAGCTACTCACAGAAGGACAAATAGTGCATGACTCCACTTATATGAGGCATCTGAAGTAATGATACTCACAGAAGCAGAAAGTGGAGTGGTGGTTACCAGGAGCTGGGGAGAGGGAAAGATGATGAATTGCTGTTCAATGAGTATACAATGTCTGCTATGTAAGACGCAATGTTCTAGAGATCTGTACAACATTGTGCTTATAGATAACGATACTGTGATACATTTAAATATTTGTTAAGATCTCATATTATTTTCTTAACCACAATAAAATAATAAAAATTTAAAGGGAGGGAAAAAGCAGTCAGATACACAAAGATGAAATTCATCCAGGGAACAATGACAAGAATTATGGTCGGTTTCTCATCACTACAATTTAGAATGCACTGGAACAACATTGTAAAAAGTGCTTCAGGAAAAACATTCATATAATTCTGTATCCAGTAAAAGTATCCTTCAAAAATTTAGTTAAAATAAAGCCATTTTCAGATAAAACTAAACAGCTAGTATAATTTATCATTAGAATCTGTGCTGCTTTATATTTTCAGTATTCAGAAAATTCCAGTGTTGTGATGATATCACAGTTGTCACATAAAGTGCCATCTCTGACCAGCAGAATTTGAGTTCATCTTGCTTCCTCCTTGATGCAGCAGCTTGGAGAATTCTGGTTTTTTCTACCATTGGTACATCCCCAGTGTCTATCTTCTCTGATAATCATATCTACTTCACACTAATTCATTAGAGATGTGGGAATTTTGTTGAAGTTGTTTAACTTTATTGAGATGTGAGAATATTTTTTTATTCCAACACTATGCAGGAAAATATCTAAATACATAAATATATATACATATATATCACTATAAATTAGTGCATTAACAAATTAATGTATTGTGCTATTTTCAAATTCCTTTTTGAGGAAGACAAAAAATTCATTACCTTAAAAATATATTTGATGGCAATATAAAATTCTTTCTTTCTGAACTCTTAGAATGTCGAGTGTATTACAAGAGAAAATTGAATATAAAGTCATCCTCCTGAACATTTTTGAAGCTTCAATTTTCTGAAACTGCACAAAACATTAGTGCATAGCATACAATATTAGATGGAGGGTTATTTTCAATATATAATGTCCTTTATTAAATTGTATAAAATGTCCTACAGTTTGGTACATGAATAATGGCTGGTATTAACTATGAAACTCCCCCTCACTCATGATAGAACATTACATTTAAAGTAGCCTTCTCTACCCAGAGTAGTCTTGTTTTTACACAAATAATTCAGGTTCATACTGAAACTTGGAGTAAGCTGATAACATGCCAAATTTCCTTTTATCATCTCAATTTATAAAAAACGTCATATTTGGTATTTACCATTTTAATCTAGTTTATAAAATATATAAACGTTATCTGATAAAACTCCACAAACTAGATACTATTTTTTGTAGATGTTTCCTGATTAGCCTTAAATTTAAACTATTTTTGCTATCTAGACTTTAACAGTTATTGTACAATTTTCTTTTTGCATGTGTGTTCTTTCTGGATATCAAGATGTTAAACTGTCCCGCTGTTGTGATATGACAAGGTACTTAAAATATCTTCCTCTGTATGCCATGAACACACTCTAAATAAGGGTAAATATGATGCTGCTGGAAAGAAGAATAAATGACACTACTAGAACAGTGGGTTGCTTTTATTCTTTATTGATTATGTATATTTTCCTTACCAGCCATATGGATTAAAAGAAAATTGTACACCAGAGAAATAAGCCAGATGGAGAAACACAAATACTGCATGGTATCACTTACATGTGGAATCTAAGAAAAACAAAAAAGTCAAACTCATAGAAACACAGAGTAGAATGGTGGTTGCCAGGGTTGGGATGTGGAGGAAACAGGGAGAGGTTGGTAAAAAGGTACAAACTTTCAGTTATAAGATGAATAAGCTCTGAGGATGTAATGTATAGCATAGGGACTATAGTTTAATAATATCGTATCACTGAAATTTGTTAAGAGAGTAGACCTAAGCGATCTCAGCAAAAAAACAAAAAAAAAAGGTAAGTGTGTGAGGTGACAGATGTATTAATTAACTTAATTGTGGGAATTCTTTCACAATGTATACATATATCAAATCATCATGTTGTACACTTTAAATAAATTACAACTTTATTTGTCATTATACCTCAATAAAACTGGGGAGGGGGTGAAGGGAGGATATCGGAAAGAGAAAGGGAAAATTACACTACCCATAAGATAATACCATATCTTGGCAAAACTGACAAGATATACCCATTAGCAACAATCCACGTGAGAGATAGGAATTCCAGGAGAAGCATTAGGGCAGTTGCAGCTGAATAGAGTGTCATCGAGATCCCAAAGTGTAGGAAACTCAACAAGACCAGGGTCCACTACAGGAAGGTCTGGCCATGACAGTTCTGCTGGACCCAAAGGGAAGCCCATGAGTGGTTTACGAGGAAGGACTGTGGAAGTTCTGTTGACCATTCACACTGCTTCCCCAGAGCCTAAATAACACGCACTGCTTTACTGCTGGTTACAATTTATTCTTTCTCTCTGCCCAACCATCTGCTCCTCCTGCCATGTGACCAGTCCACCCAACACTGTCTGAGTTCAGGGCTGCTTCACAGAGGCACACAGTTCCACTGGTTCCAGTCACAGGGTATGCAGATGTGATGCAGATTATGACTCATTTTCTGCATAA